AGTTTAATTAATGAAGAAAACAGAAAAAAAGTTTATATTTTCATTTTCACAAAACAACTCACTTATTAATTTATTTTATAGCTTTTCTGTCGATTTCAAAGAATAATTCTTATTTTTGCAAAGAACCTATCACTTGTTGAAATAATATTATCCATTCTCGATTTTCAAGTGTTTCCCCTAGTTTTTGTAAATGCCTTGGTTTAAACCTTGCTATGGTGCAACATCAAGTGGTTTGAAATGAAACACAGCTTTGAAAATGGTTATAACGAAAGTTTAAAGATGATGGGACAGAGCAAGATTTAAACTAAATATAGTGGTTTAAGATCTCTTTCACAGCTTATGTAAATATTCCTTTCAGTTCCTTTCATTTGTGAATTGTGAAAGTATTTTTTGTGTTTGAAAGTTACAGAAATTTTCTTCAAAGAGAAAACATCAGATAACTTGATATAAGATAAGCTTATACAGTTTAGAGATGGATTGAATGGATAACAAAAAAAAATACAAGTTTAAAATAGTAACAAATATATATATCATATGGAGAATGTTTAATAATCATCTGGTACAACAAGTTTACCTAAACACAGGAACATTTATACAGTATGAAACAAAAGTCACATTACTTGATATTGTTTAAGGCTTAATAAAAGTATTTTGTTGATGTTTGATTCTTTATTTAAGTACAGTAGTTTTTAATTTTAATATATATATATACTATGGTTTTACTGCAGTGCAATGCTTGTAATCACGAGGTTTTATATTATGTTCATCAAATAGAATAAAATTGTCATGAAATAAGTTGAGTTTATTGTTTAGTGAGAATGATAGCTAACTGCAAGATATTCTGATGATTCAGATCTTTACCAAATATTATTTTTATGTCTATCCTATTCAAACAATTTATATAAATAAATTGACTAATAATTACTTAATTATTTCTAATTGGTTTGTTCTTTTTTGAATTTCATGCAAAACTACTCATGGACTATCTGCACTAGCCATCCATAATTTACCACATTGACTAGAAGGAAGTGGGATTGACTATTATGTTACAATGCCCTTACAACTGAAAGGGCAAGCATGTTCAGTGATGGGGATTCAAACCCATGTACTGCAGATTGGGAGTTGAGTGCCCTAACCACCAGGCCAGGCCATACCAAGCCTTATTTCTAATTGTAACCATATGTTTTAGTTAAAAACATTATTACCCTTATTGGTGACAGTAAAACTGATGTAAAGGATATCATTTTAAGTTCTGAAATTGTAAGAGAAAAGTTGGGAAATCTAAAAATTTATAAATCCCTTGGACCAGACAACTTTCATCTTAGAGTTTTAAAAGAACATAAAGATTTTATTTGTGAATTGCTAGTTAATATTTTTTATAGGTCATTGAGTAGTGGAAGAGTATTAGAAGATTAGAAGTTGGCTAATCTTAATCCAGTATTTAAAGAAGGTGATAAACATTGTCCAGGAAATTATAGGCCAGTTAGTCTTACATCAGTAGTTGGAAAGGTTTTGGAGAGTGTAATTAAAGATGCATTGGAGAATCACTTAAAGCAGCTTGATATAGTGTTAAAGAGACAGCATGGTTTCACTGAGAAAAAATCTTGTTTAACAAATCTTCTGACATTCTTTAAGGATGTTACTGCAAGAGTTGATGAAGAAAATATTGTGGGTTTGGTTTACCTTGAATTTCAGAAAATATTTGATAAGGTGCCTCACAAAAGACTTGTTTCAAAAATTAATTCTGTGGGTGTGGGGGAAAAGTTATTAAATTGGATAGAAAATTGGCTGGAGAGTAGAAAGCAGAGAGTAGTGATAAGTGGAGTTAGATCTGACTGGATCACGATTACAAGCAGTGTACCTCAGGGCTATGTGCTGGGTCTTTTGCTGTTTGTGGTTTATATAAATAATATTGACCCTGGAATGGCTAACAAAATTTTGAAGTTTGCAGATGACTTTAAGGTGTTTTGGGGTGGCTAACTGTATCAAAGATGCTGCAGATTTACAGGGAGATTTAGATCATTTGATGCATTTGGTCAATATGTGGTAGATGACATTTAACTATCCAAAATGTAAGATGATGCATGTAGGTTTTCACAATTCAAATTATTGTAAAAATTT